TGACTGGATGCGCCGTTCTCCAGCTAGACAGACGCTGCTGTGTTGTCTTCCAGCACCAAGAGCTGCTCGCCATTTCCGAGTCACTCTTTTGGGAACCAGATGTGCTCCAGGGGTAGAGATGACTGATTTTGCAGACAACCGGCTGTCCAGGGTCTTCCATTCCACCGTTCCCTGCCGCTCCTGTGGGAGATTTATTTATTTGCAGGAGTGAGGGACCGGAATTACACATAAATGTAAATGTATCATTTTTTTCTAATTACAAAATTAGATGCATGCTAATAAATAAATAAATACAACAGAGCAGAGAAGGCAAATCCCCATAATGTTACAAAGAGAACACTGTTAATACTATAGTTTGGTGTCTATTTTTTTCAAGGCTTTCTGTATGTATATATGCATATACACATGCATAGAAAATAATTATTTTTAAAATTAGGTTCATGCTATATGGATATTTCCTAACAGACTTCTTTGTACTTAAACGTATATCTTGATATGGTTTCCATGGAAGAACAACAAGACCTACCTCATTCTCTGTAAGGGCTGCCTGGGGCTGCACGGACACCTGCTCTATTCGTTATTTGTTCCGACTCTTAGTGATGAACACCCGGATCATTCTCTGTTACATAGGAAGCCTCAGCAATCTCTGTACACTTAAGACTGAAGGATAAATTTCTAAAAGGGTGGGACAGAGGGTAGGCGTGTTGTTTATTTCTAGTCAGCCATTTCTGTCATCTCTGCCTCCAGGATACATCTCAAGGCCACCTCCCTGTCCCCACCTGTGCTGCCACTTTCTTCTTGCACCTGCAACTGCACCTGGTCACCCTGTTTCCACCCCGCGCCCCACCCACCTCCCGAATCCACTTGGTATCCAAGAGCTACAGCGGTCTTGTAAAAACAGAGTCATACGATGTTGTAGCTCTGCTTAGCAGCCTTCAGTGGCCTCTCATCATGCATGAAACAAATTCCAGGGTCTTCCCTGAGGCCTACACAGGCCACAGGACCCCTCCCCTACCCCAGGGCCTTTGCCTCTGCTGTTCCTATGCCTGACAGGCTTGCTCCCAGACAATCATGGGTGGCCCCTCCTCACTCAGCCTTCCCTGACCATCTTTTATCCTGGCTCCCTCTGCCCTGTCACTCTGTCCAGACGGAGTCTTTCCTTTGCAGTCCTGGCCACATCTGAAATGCCCCTGTTTATTTTGCACTATGCATCACCTGCCTGTCTCCCCTGCCCCACCCCGCAGGCTTCCAGAAGGGCAGAGGTCTTGCCCCCCAGGGTTACCTCAGCCTTTAGCTCAAGCGCATGTGTGAATACATTAACAAGGGTAATGACAATATGGTCCTCCCCATTAGTGGGCCATTAGTGGGCCAGTGACAAAATGCAGAAGAGTCTGTTGTATGCATGGATAATCTAGGAGCAAGTAACAGTGGCTGAGGGAGAAGTCACAGCTCTGCCACTTCATCACGGTGAGAAGTTGGACCAGTTTAAAGGCTCTAGGCCTCAGTTCCTCAAATTTGGGGAATCTCAAAAATTAAATGTGGGGCCAGAGGGAGCCTGCTCCTCTGGCCATGGGCTCAAGAGTCCCAGTGCCCCATCCAAATCCTTCCTGGAACTGGCTGCCATCGGTGGCCCCACTCTGCCTTAGACATCAGTGGGAATGACTCTGGGTCCTGAGACCGCTGAGATTCCCGACAGTGACAGCAGTCTTCCAGCTGGGAGTTTAACCCACAGTGACTGGGCAAGGACACCAGGAATGCAGAGAAGGGGATTTGCCTGCCTGCAGAACAGAAGAACCTAAGTTGGCCCCGTTTTCAAATGGGGTTGGCCCAAGAGTAGGACCAATGGGCTCTCCTGTTTTTAATTGAATTAATGCTATCACAGGGTTTTATGCTACCTATCTATCTTACAGAGTTATTTCTGAGGATCAAATGAGAGAAAGAGCTGAAAATGTTTTATAGAGCACAGAGCATCATTCTACTGTAAAGAATTACTAGTTTTACAACCACTGAAATTGCCGCTAAACAGTAGGTCACCCAGAGACTCATGTTTCCCTGGGGAGGGGCAGTAAATCTGTTGACCTTCCAACTGCTCACCGCAGTCAGACTTTGAAGACATGAGCCATGACCTCAGCCTGGTTTCCATGAAGGTTGCATGGACCACCCCAGTGCACTCAATTATAATAGAAGACTTTGTGTTATCTTTTTAAATGCCAGTGGTGAATACACACTTGCTTTAGTACAGGGTTTCTCAACCTCAGCACTATTCCATTTTGGCCAGATAAGTCTTTGTTGCAGGGGCTGCCCCGTGCATTCCAGGATGTTTAGCAGCGTGACTGGTGACTGGTGACCCCTTCCTCCTTTTTAATAGCCAGCACTGTAGCATCTTCCTTCCTCACTGGCCTCTGCTTCCATCCTTGTATGTTCTCTTTCTGACTCTGACCTTCCCATCTCCCTCTTATAAGGACACTTGTGATTACACTGGGCTCACGTGGACAACCTGGGATAATCTCCCCATCTTGAGATCCTTAACTTAAGGGACATCTTCAAAGTCCCTTTGCCATATAAGGTAACATATTCACAGGTTCCAGGGATTATGACATGGACATCTTTGTGGACCATTTATTCAGCCTACTACAGTCTACCTCTAGTCCCCAGCGATTCATGTCCGTCCCATATATTCATCCCCTCCCATATATTCATCCCCTCTCAAGGTCCCCCAAAGTCTCAACCCATTATAGTGTCAACTCAAGTCCAGAATATCATCTAAACCTCATCAGCTCAAAAACCCAATTCTCATCATCGAAATTAGTTATGCATGAGACTCTGGCTATGGTTTATCCTGGGGCAACATTCCTCTCCATCTGCGGACTTGTAAAACTAAAAAAGAAAAAAGTTATCTGCTCCCCAGTTCAGTGGTGGATCAGGCCGTAGGATAAAAGTTACAGACATTCTCATCGGAAACGGGGGAAATGAAAGAAAAAAAAAGACACACCAAGGTCAAGCGATCTCAAAACTCCATGAGGTTTCAAGGCCTGTGAACATTCTCTACAGTTTGGGGCTCCACTCTCTTGGCCCCAAAGAAGAAGCTTCATCTTTGGAGTCATTCTTCCTTTTTCAGGAAGAGTAGCATGTGTCTGCAGATGAGTAGTTTTATCAGCCTATTTCCTGCCTGTAGAATTGTTGGGAGTCTGACAGCCTTCTTTCATTTTGTTCTTTCTCCCATTCAGTCCAAGCTGGCAGTGTTTCTGCTGGTATGACATTCTCAAAAATCATATGGGGCTCCTATGTATGTCTGTAGGATTCACTCCATTAGACAAGAGGCTCCTCTGCAAATCTTTCCTGGAAAATCCCATCTCCATTCCTGGCTCCTGCTGAGATGTCTAAGGGGATCTAGTCACATGTCTAATCTCTTCAAAGAGCCCCCTGTATGATCGAATACTCTGACCTTTGGATCTTCCTGAGGGACTAGCAAAAGGCTGACCAGCCATTCCCTGGGTTTTCTCTCCGCAGCACACTTTCCTGACAGTGAATCTCCTAATTTTAGCATCTTTTGCAATCTGGATAGGCTGAAAATTTTTCCAAATCGTCAAGTCCTAGTTCCTTTTTTCCTTAACAGTTCTTCCCTCAGTCTGTCTCTTTCCTCTCACATTTTAATCTAAGCAGCAAGAAAAAAACCAGACAGAACCTTCAACACTTTGTTTGGCAATCTCCTGAGCTAAATATCCAAGTTCATCATTTCTAAGTTCTGCTTGCCACGTAACTGCAGGACACAATTCACCGAAGATTCTGCTTCTACATAGCAGACTCCCTCCACTGCAGTCTCAGCTACCTCTACCTCATTTCCTGAGCTCACCAGCAGGGCCTTTAACGTCCACAGTTCTATAGACGTAAATCTATAAAGGATGATTTCTCTGAGAGGATAAAATTTTTCTACACAACTGGATCTAACGGTAGAACTTAAACTTCCAGTGGTACTTTGAATTTGGCATTGGGCAGACCATTTCACAGGCTGGGGAAGTGTCTCTGTTAGTCAGGTCTCTGTTAGTTGCTCCTCACTTCCTCCTGGCCCATCACTGGTCCACAGGTTCTGGGGATTAGGACACGGGCATCTTTGGGGAGCCATTATTCAGCCTACTGCCATAACTATTAGGTTTATTGGTCAATCATCAAACCTCTATTGATTGCTTCTTATTTTCTCAGAACTCTGTTAGACACTACGAGGGCTACAGGGGTAGTGTGGCTAGGCTAACACACTGGTTTGCCCAGACAGTCCTGTTTAAACTTTTTGTCCTGCTGTAACTACAGTGGTGCCCTTTTTCCCTTTGTGAAGTATCTTTGTTTGGATGATACATTTTCCGGTCACTCTGAGTATAGATCTTAATGCTTAGCCTTAAGGAATCTACAGTCTCATGGAGACAAAAGAAACATATGAAAATATTGTCAAGCAGTTGTGGTTAAGTGCTAAATAGGACATGCAGATGCTGCTAAACATCCCACAGTATGCAGGACAGCCCCCATCAACTATCCATCAGCCATTTTACCCTCTGGAATGTAAGGGTCATTTGGAGGCTTTTGGGATTTCATATTCAAAGAGTGGTCCCTGGACCAGTAGCTTCAGGATCACCTTATTAGAAATGTTAAATCCCTGAGCTCCATCCCAGACCCCCCTTGAATCAGTGGGTGGGACTCCACGATCTGCTTTAACAAGCCCCAATGTCATATCGTCTGTATCTCTCTTACCCTGCCCCGTCATTCATTCTCTCTCTCTATCTCTCTCTGTGTGTGGCATCTCAGGCAGGGACAGACACCACGATTAATCCTATAAATACTGCTCTGTCCAGAGAGTAGCTCATTTTTCCCTTGACAGCACATGGGTCAAAATGATATTGGTAAATGTTAGTTTGGTGAGAATAGTTGTTTGGTTCAAATGATCTGTTTTCAAATAAGTTTTTCTCAAAGGACCATGTATATTTTTCATCTCTCTTCTTGGCTTTTGGCAGGAGCTGAGAAAAAGCCTAGAACTCAGCGTACATCTACAAAGGAAGCAAAAGGATTGCTCCAGTGATGAGTATGACTCTATTGAAGAAGATGTAGTTTCGGAGCCTGAGCCCGAGGACCAGGTGCTGCTGGGCCAACCCCAAGAGGAGCCTCCTCCCCCCAGGGGGAACTCAGTGCAAAAGGATGTTCCCGAGGACCAGGAGACAGGGGGGCGCTCTCCCCAGGGCCCAGACACCCTCGTGGTCCTGGAGTTTAACCCGGCTTCTAAAAGTAAGTTTTGTCTTAGGTGGCATTTCTTTGCCTTTGATGTCTCTCGATCTAATAGTAGAACTTAAACTTCCAGTGGTACTTTGAACTTGGCTTTGGGTAGACCATTACACAGGCCAGGGAAGTCTATTGGTCATGTCTCTGTTGATTGCAGGAGGCAGAGGCTTCCAAAGGCTTCAAAATGACCCTGAAATTCCAGATGGCAAATGTCTGGGCAGATAGCTATGGGGGCTGTCCTGTGCATTGTAAGATGTTTAGCACCATCTACATGCCAATTGGCTAATGCGGAGTAGCTTAAGCAAAAGAGACTATTTATTGGCTTGAATAACTGAAAAGTCCAGAACTGTAGCAAGACTCCTTCCTCTCCTCTCCTCTCCTCTCCTCCCTCTCCTCTCCCTCCTCTCTCTCTCCTCTCCTCTCCTCTCCTCTCCTCCTTCTCTCCTCTCCTCTTTCTTCCCTCTCTTTCCATTCTTAGGTAGTCTCTCCAGCATACAGAGTTAGAATGCCTTCCTATGAGACATTGGCTTTGCAACCCACCATCAGAAATGAATTTTTCTTTCCTAACAACTCCAGCAAAAGACCAGAATTGGCTCTCAAACCCATACTGGTCACATGCTACCCTGATCTAATCACTGTGGCTCTGATTGGCCAGGTGCAGCCAATAGGACTGAGGGATGTGATTATGACCACCCAATCACATGAACTGATAGTGCAGGAAAAAGAAAGGTGTTTCACAGGAAATTGAGTGAGTCTGAAGGAGGAGGAAGGACCTGCCGAGGCAGAAACAGCAACAGTCTGCTGAGGAGGTTTTCAGAGAAGACTCTGGAAAGTAGGGTGACAGAACAAGTGGTGAGAGACAGGCAGGAGAGAGAGGCTCGGCAGGCAGGGAGAGGCCGGCATGCAACAGTCATTATCCCCAAGCAGGACGCAGGCTGGCTCAGCCTCTGCACCTGTCTCTCCATCCAAGTGCACCCTCACGCTGGGTGTGCCAGCCAGGGCCACATGGCTGACCCAGAGTGAACATGAGCAAAGAGAAATGAGGAAATCTGTGAAATCAGGTAGCGATTTAGTTTGCTAGGCTGCCATAAGAAAGCACCACACACTGGGTGGTTTAAGCAGCAGACATTTATTGTCTCGTCACTTTTGGAGGCTAGAAGTTCAAGGTCAGGAGTCTGTTTCCTCTGAGGCCTCTCTCCTTGGCTTGTAGATGCTGTCTCCTCCCTGTGTCAACACATCTCAGTGTGTGTCTGTGTCCCGATCTCCTTTTCTTCGAAGGGCACCAGTCACAGTGGATTAGGGCTCGCCATAAGAGCTCGTTTTACTCATGACCTCTTGAAAACTCTTTTCCCAACACAGTCACGTTCAGGGGACTGGTGTTGAGACTTCAACACACGAGTCTGGGTCACAGGGACGCAATTCATCCCGTAACTGCCACCCTGGAGAACCCACACCAGTGGCTGATGTCTCCAGAGAAGACATCTGTCCATCAAACGTGCTGTCACCGTGTCTCTCTCGCCTGCAAACCTTGCTTGGGCTGTCCCCTCTGCTGGGGACATTCCATTCTCTGTCCTCTCCCCTCTGACCCTGAACCTGGCTCCCTGCTTTTCCCTCAAGACTCCACTGAGAGGTTGCTTCTTACCCTACCTTTCACTGCAACGTGGCTCCTCTGCCCTCTTCGCATCTTCACGGCGTGCTCTCACTGACCAGAGAGTTGTCTTCTCTCCCACCTCCCCGCTCACCGGCCTGTGACACCCTGCCAGGGCACAGCCAGCCCTCCATGGCTTCCCTAGCAGGCGGCAGACACCTTGTGCTTTCCAGCCGCTGGAAATCTCTGTCAGGGAAAGGAAGTGTGATGCACCTGCTAGAGCGTCAGGCGGTCAGGGCTAATGCTCACATCGCTCCCGGTGACAGCAGCGTGGACTGCAGACAGCAGGCTGCGGGGGGAGATGGAGAGGAGGACAGGGCTCTAAAGAGTTGTCCGAGCCCTGGCCCTGGACAAGTGGGGTGGGGACATGAGAGCCTTCCCGGTGTGAAAGACCAGGCTGCAGAACAATTGACACCAGGCACCGTTTGAGAGTGATACTGGGGCAGAAAGCAAAGAGCGAACTGGAATTCTTGACATTGTACATTTCTTACAATTAGATTGCTTGCAGCCCCCCCAACCCTGTTGTCTGCAGTGAGTCTGCTGCGAGCAAGGGCTGTCGGCTCTCATCTGAGGCTTTTTTTATAATGAAGTTCCATCTCTGTTTACTCATGAGTATATACATTCAGTGGTACACTCTCTTGCTCATAAAATTTATAATTTATATAGGTTGCTGGGTCAATGTAGGAGAGGATAAATGGATAAATTCAAGGCAAATGAAGGTATCTTAGTTGTGCTTTTTTTTTTTTTTTTTTGAGACATCGTCTCACTCTGTTGCCCGGGCTAGAGTCGCTGGCCTCAGCCTAGCTCACAGCAACCTCAAACTCCTGGGCTCAAGCAATCCTCTGCCTCAGCCTCCCAGTAGCTGGGACTACAGGCATGCGCCACATGCCCAGCTAATTTTTTCTATATATATACTTTTAGTTGGCCAATTAATTTCTTTCTATTTTTAGTAGAGACGAGGTTTCGATCTGATCTTTCTCAGGTTGGTTCGAACTCCTGACTTGAGCAATCCACCCGCCTCGCCTCCCAGAGTGCTAGGATTAAGACGTGAGCCACCACGCCGGCCTCTTTAGTTGTTTTGATGCATGTCTTATAGAAAATATGGGCTATTTTGTTGACTGTTTTGGGGTTTTTTTGTCATGATTGTTCTATCATCTGAGGCTTCTTTAGCCCTGCAGGAGACAGGCTCCCACTCAGAGGAGCAGGCAGAGGCCGAGGGGCCTGTTGCGAGGTCTCATGGGACTGGAGTTCCAAACTAGTCCTGAGCCTTTTGGGTTTTTTTTTTCTTTCCTTGAGACAGAGTCTCGCTTTGGTGCCCAGGCTATAGTGAGTGCTGTGGCGTCAGCCTAGCTCACAGCAACTTCAATCTCCTGGGCTCAAGCGATCCTCCTGCCTCAGCCTCCCGAGTAGCTGGGACTACAGGCATGCGCCACCATGCCCGGCTAATATTTGTATATATTTTAGTTGGCAATTAGTTTCTTTCTATTTATAGTAGAGACGGGGTCTTACTCTTGCTCAGGCTGGTTTCGAACTCCTGACCTTGAGCGATCCACCCGCCTCAGCCTCCCAGAGTGCTGGGATTACAAGCATGAGCCACCACGCCCGGCCTAGTCCTGAGCCTTTACTCAAGAGCAGCCACCAGTGACCTGAAAAGAAAAGCGTGGTTCTGGACTGTCCATTCATTCATTTGCCGGGCGCCTGTCATGCCCCACGCACTGTACTGTGACACGACTGGCCCAGTCTCCTGTGGCACCACATTCTGTCAGGGAACACAGACAAGTAGCACATAAATACATATGCAGTCAAGCGTCACCTAACAATGGGGGTACGATACAAGAAATATGTTATTGGGCAACTTCATCATTGTATTGATACCATAGAGTGCACTTATGCAAACCTACACGGGACAGCCTGCTGCTCCAAGGCCACAAACCTGCACAGCGTGTCACTGTACTGAGTACTGTAAGCACTTGTGACACGGTGGCAAGTATTTGTGTATCTAAGCATATCTGAACATAGGAAAAGTACAGTAAAAATGTGATATTATAATCTATGGGACTGCTGTCATATATGCAGTCCATCATTGACCAAAATATCATTAGGACTGTAGTATGTTAACAATTGCCAACATTTGGCCGGTGTGGTGGTTCACACCTATAATCCTAGCACTCTGGCAGGCCAAGGCGGGAGGATCACTCAAGGTCAAGAGTTCGAAACCAGCTCTGAGCAAGAGAGAGACCCCATCTGTACTAAAAATAGAAAGAAATTAATTGGCCAACTAAAAAAATATATAGAGAGAAGAAAATTAGCTGGGCATGGTGACACGTGCCTGTAGTCCCAGCTACTCGGGAGGCTGAGGCAGCAGGATTGCTTGAGCCCAGGAGTTTTAGGTTGCTGTGAGCTAGGCTGACACCACAGCACTCTAGCCCAGGCAACAGAGTAAAACTCAGGCTCAAAATAATAATAATAATAATAATAATTGCCAACATTTATTGAGCTTCTGTTAACATGTGCCAAGCACTGTTCCAAGGACCTTCCCTGGAGGCCCTCATTGAATCCTCACCACAACCCCAAGGAAAATACTGCCGTTGTACTGGTTTTACAGATGGGGAAACTGAGGCACAGAAAGGTCAAGAAACTTGCCCAAGGTCACACAGTTAGGAGGGGGCAGACCTGGTCAAAACTTCAGCCATCTTTGAGACCAGAGCCTGAGCTCTTACCCAGTAGGCTAAATAAATAAACCAGAGGAAGTCATGAAGCACCCTTCTGGTGCTCGGGACCTCTGCTGGCTCCAAGCCCTGGAGCCACTTTCCCCAAACCTGACCCATTTGTAGACCTTCCTCACAGTTTTTTGCCATAATCACAAACCCCCCCGTACTATTTTTCAGCTTAGGTAAACCAGTCACCTACCTTCCTAACTTCCTTCCTTCCTCCCTTCCTTCCTTCCTTCCCTCTCTCCATCTGTGTCCTCCTTCTTCCCTCCTTTTCTCCCCTTTTCTTTCTTTCATACTGCAGGTTTGTTCTAAGCAATAATATTTTGGAAACCAGGGGTTTGACATGCTGGCTATATGTTTTTTCCTTGCACATTAAGATCTATAACTGCTTAAAAAAACATTTACTCTCCCAGCATCTAGAATCACAGCTTGGCTGTGAGCATGTGGAGGGCAGCGAATGTGTTTTGATGCACTCCCAGACTCCGAGGTGGCCTCGGCTGCACCGTGATGTGACATGGCCCACCACCAGTTAACCCCAACACCCCATTGATTGTGACACTTGGCCCCATTCAGGAATGTTAAAATTTGAAAACCGGTGGGTGTCCCAGAATATTTCATTTATTTGCCAAAATGTGGTGCTGGGCACACAGTCTCTCAGCATTCTTTTTTTGCTGTCTGCACTGCTCACATCTCTAGTCCCAAACTAGCAAGGACGTACAGTAGTTCCGTAAATATTTCTCGAATGCATAAGTCAAGGGATAACAAACAAATGCCTGAACAGAATGCCCCAACGCCGCTTGCGCTCGGTGTCCGACAGATAAACAATTGATTTCCTGCAGGTAATAAAAGAGAAAGGAATTTGTCGGCAAAGCGGAAGGACAACGCCGAAGTCTTCATCCCCAGCAAACCCGAGTCAGACCTGAATCCCCAGCCCCGCGCTGCGTTTCCAGACCAGGAGAGGACTGGCTCCAGTAAGAATCCTGGGGGCCCTTGCGCAGGGGAGCAGGGCCAGGCCATTCCCAGGGGGTGCTGTGATGGGAGGCTTCGCTTCATTACCCTTCCTCGCCAAGGGCTGAGCTGACCTTTCGCAAAGGTATTAGGGTTCTCCGGAGAAACAGAGCCGAGAGGAAATGTATACATAAAGAGAAAGAGATGATTAGAAGGAATTGGCTCACGCGATTATGGAGGCTGGCAGGGCCAATCTCCAGGGTGTGTCAGCAGCTAGAGACCCAGGAGGAGCTGATATTCCAGTTCAAAGGCTGTCAGGCAGGAAGAGCCTGTGTGCAAATGAAGTTCAAAGGCATCTGCTGGAGAAGTCTCTCTTACCTGTGGGAGAGTTTGTCTTTTTTTTTTTTTTTTTCGAGACAGAGTCTCTCTCTGTTGCCCAGGCTAGAGTGCCGTGGTATCATCATGGCTCACTGCAATCTCACACTCCTGGGCTTAAGTGATCCTCCTGCCTCAGCCTCCAAAGTAGCTGGGACTACAGGCATGTGCCACCATGCCTGGCTACTTTTTCTATTTTTAGTAGAGACAGGATCTCGCTCTTGCTCACGCTGGTCTTCTAGTCTTAAATTCCTGAGCTCAACCGATCGTCCTGCTCTGCCTCCCAGAGTGCTGGGATTACAGGTGTGAGCCACCGCGCCTGGCCCCTAGAGAGTTGGTCGTCAACTGGTTGGGTGAGGCCCTGTCACGCTGTGGAGGGCAATCTGCTGTATTCAACTGATTAATATGTTAATCTCATCTAGAAATGCCCTTTTAGAAACACTCAGAATGATGCTTGACCAAATATCTGGGCTCCCTGTGGCCCAGTCAAGTGAATACATCAAATTAACCATCACAGCTGCTTTCTGATTCTACAACCAAGTCGTGCTTATACTTGAAAATTTCTTTTCTTTTGTTTATTTTTAAATGAATTTGCTTACTTTATATGGGTAATAATACATGCAAATGGTATAAGATTCTGAAGGTACAAAAGAGTTTTTGGTGAAAGACTCTCTCTTTTAATGAGAGATTATATTTATTGAGCACTTATTATGAGCCAGCCACTCTTATAAGCTTTTGCTTTGATCGTCTCACATAATCCTTGTAACTGTCCTGGAGACAGGTTCTCTGAGGCTTAGAGCAGGCGATTCACAGCTGGAAGGCAGCTGAGGCTTTGTAGCAGGGGCTGCCATGACGTAGTTGACATTTTAAAAAAGATCCCTCTGGCTGTCACATGGAGCCTGGGTGGATGAAAGGTGACCAGGGAAGAGGCCGGGTCCTTCAGGGTGGAGAGGGTGGTGGCTCGGTCTCTGAGTGTTACCAGTGGATGGATTGGGACAGAAATTGGGCTTGTCGAGGAGTCAGTTACAGGTAAAAGACTACTTGTGACTTTTTATCCTAAACAACCTAGGGTGAGAACCTGGGTACTGGGGAGTCTGGCTTGTCATGTGGCTAGGAGCTATCATTTAAACATTTGTCTAAAACTCATGTTGAAATTTATTCTCCACTGTGGCAGGATTGAGTGGGGCCTTTAAGAAGTGATTGGGTCATGCAGACTCTGCCCTCGTGCATGGGTTAATTCATTCATGGATTAATGGGTTAATAGGTTAATGGGTTATCATAGGAGTGGGACCGGTAGCTTTATAAGAAGAGGAAGAGACACCTGAGCTAGCACAGCCCCTTCACCATGTGATGCTCAGCACCACCTCGCGACTCTGCAGAGACTCCCACCAGTAAGAAGGCTGTCCCCAAATGCAGCCCCTTGACCTTGGACTTCTCAGCCTCCGTAACCATAAGAAATAAATCCATTTTCTTTATGAAATTGCCCAGTTGCAGGTATTCTGTTATATACAACAGAAAGTGGTCTAAAGCACCGGGCTAGGATCTGAGTCTGCGTCACTAGCAAAGACGACTCGGGCGACCCAGGTCCCCGGAGCTGGGACCTGTGCGTGCACAAGCCACACAGCACTAAGACCGGTGTCGTCGGTCTCTGATCTGCATCCTGCTTCCGTCAGGAGGGACCCAGGAACTGTGGCCATACACAGCCCGCGTCCCTCCACGAGGAGCAGGATCCAGTGGGGCAGAATCAGCACCAAACTGCTTCCTGGGAACTTCCTGGTGAGACCCAGAGCCTGGACCCTGAGGGAGTTAGAGGTGGCAGGCGACCACTGCTGGCACGTCAGGGTCCCTGCAGCTGATAGGGTCACAGAGGTGCCACACTGGGAAGTAGATAATGGAGAGACAATCTGTAGGAGTCAAGAGCAAGATATAAGAGCAAGAGTAAGATGTCAGAAGAATCTGGCAAACTTGGGCTCTATCGGCTCTGGCGGGATGGGAGCTAAACTATTATTTTCTTAATAACTACCCACAGCCCCGTCCTAAGCATTAACATGCCTAAAATAATAGATTTGGGTCACTTGTTATATTTTTTCCTAATGCTCATTAATATAAATATATCAGTATTTTAAAAAGCTAAACCATGTATCAACTAAAATCATCTGGTGTACTGTATTAGTTTGCTAGGGCTGCCATAACTAAGTACCACAATCTGAGTGGCCTAAACAACAGAAATGTATCGTCTCACTGTTCTTGAGGCTAGAAGTCCAAGATCAAGGTGTTGGCAGGGCCGTCCTCCGAAGGCACTGGGGAAACATCTGTTTCAGGCCTGTCTCCTGGCCTCTGGTAGTTCCTTGACTTGTGGCAGCATAACTCCAATCTGTACATGACATTCTCCCTGTGTGCAGATCTGACCCTGTGCCCAAATTTGCCATTTTTATAAAGACAGAATAAGGCCCACCCTAATGACCTTGTCTTAACTTAATCATCTGCAAAGACCCTATTTCTAAATAAGGTCACATTCACAGGTACTAGGGGGTTAAGACTTCAACACCTTTGTGGGGGACACAATTTAACCCAGAACACATACCTTCATGGACAGTGTTTTGAGAAATAGAAAATAATTAATCTATAATCTGCCTTTCTCCAAAGAGTTCTGACATGGCCTAACAAATGACATGCAGTGTATAGGTGCAAGACTATAAAAAAAATGAGGAAATGAAGGGAGAAGAAAAAACAAGTGTAGAAACATACGAGGAAAACAGGAGGTGAACAAATGAATGCTTAATGTCATCACAGTTGTGACTGTGAGGCTCCTGGCCACCAAGGCAAGGAAGCTTGTGTTCATATACAAATATGTACCACTGGGTCCATCTGATAACAATCAGATAACCAGCTGTTCTGGTATTTGGTTCTTAGAGCAATTTGTCCCATCAATATTCTACTCTCTTTCTCTTTTTTTTTTTTTTTTTGAGACAGAGGCCTGCCCTGTCACCTGGGCTCAGTGCTGTGGCATCATTTCAGTTCACAGCAACCTCAAACTCCTGGGCGCAAATGATCCTTCTGCCTCAGCCTCCTGAATAGCTGGGACTATAAACATGCACAACCTCATCTGGCTAATTTTTTTCTATTTTTAGTAGAGATAGGATCTCACTCTTGCTCAGGCTGGTCTCGAACTGCTGAGTTCAAGTGATCCTCCCACCACACGCCTCCCAGAGAGTTAGGATTACGGGCGTGAGCCACCACGCCCAGCCCCATCAATACTCTTAAAGAGGAAACTGAGCTAGTAGAATACTTATTTTAAATAGGTTTGGAGCTCAGCCTTTATCTATTAAATATACTTGGTTCCTACATAAGTCAGATTTGAAGACAGAATTCTGTGGCTAAGAGGAAAGTTGAAAACCCCAGCACTGTGACTATCCTCACACTGAAATGGGAGTACAGTAGAGCCACATCTCGCCCAGTATTCATCTCTAAAAGCAGCAAAAAGTTCAAGAGGCCAAAGCTACCCGTAGGAATCCCTCTTATTGGTGATTAAGTGCAGCATATATGGCTTAATATAGATGAATATATAATATATGTCTCATCTCTCAGCAAGCCCAATAGAGTCGGCTGTGGGAAAAATCACAGCTTCTGGACTGAGCCGCAAAGAAGCAGTTGGCCTTGTGGAGGGCCTGGGTTTTAGGGAAAATGCGTGTTTTTAAACACTGGCATCATGCTGAGGACACTGGAATGGTCATGCCACCAGAGGCACATGGAACCTGAGACTTCCTGAGTGGATAATGGAATCACAAACCAGCTCACCCTCCTCCAGGCAAAATCTGGAGGGTGGGCTATGCACATGCTTTACTTTATATTGGGAGGGCTATCTTTTTTGGTACACACAAAATTAGACTTTTTATATCTTCTTAGTGAATTGAACCTTTTATCATTATGTATTATCTCTGTTTTGCTCTAGTAATGTTTTTTGTATTAAAGTCTACTTCAATACAGAGATACCTCAGCTTTCTTTTGGTTAGACATGGTGTCTTTTTTCATCCTTTTACTTTCAAACTTTCTGTATCTTTAAATTAAGGTTTGTTTCTTGTACACAGCATGTAATTGGTTTTTATTTTTATCCTCTAACAATCTGTGTGTTTTAATGGGAACATTTAGTCCATTTACGTTTAATGTAATTGCTGATATATTTGAGTTTAAATCCACTATCTTATTGTTTGCTTTTTATTTGTTTGGCTTGTTTTATGTTTCTCTTTCTCTCCTTTCTTGCCTTCTTTTGAACTGATTGCTCTGTATTATGCCTCTTTTTTTCCTCTCCATTAGCTTGTTAGTTATACATTCTTTTATTATTTTTCTAGTCATTACAAGAGATTACAACATGCATTCTTGACTTATTAGAGTTTACTTGAAATTAGCAAGTTTACCACTTCTCATTCAGTGGAAGTGCTTTACAATTCTGTAACTCCATTTACTCCTCTCTCAACTGGAATACTGGGGCCATGCATTTTAATTCTTTCTAGGTTCTAAACCCCACTAGACAGTGTTATAATTAATTTTTATTATTTTATATAGTCAGTAGCAATTTGGATTTGCCCATATTGTTAACCTTTCTGTGCCCTTTACTCCTGGCTACTTCCAGGTCACCCCCACTCTCAGA